CCTAAGATTCACTGTGCGTATGCGATCGTCCAAACTTCAGTTTTGAGAAATCATGCAATTACATAGTCTAGTGCGTTAGACGTTTGACCGAGAAGCTACAGATCAGAACCTTAACGCCAGTTTCAGTCGCTTGACTCTGGTGATTTGTTCGGAACTTTGATCCCTCCACTCCAACAAGCCTATTTAGCAAAACAGTTAAAAGCAGTGACAATCAAATGTAGGCACAGAGTAGACATTGGCCATCTAAGAACTGCAGGAAGCTGTAAGGTTCAAGAAGTACTTCGTGTAGTGAGGGTAGTGTTGCCTCCGCAAAGGTTGACTATTATAAGATGACAGAAAGCTTCCTTTCTTGGGCAGCTTGTCGAGCTTTCCTTCGTTGCTCTTAGGATGTTGAAATCTGGAAATGCGACCTGTAAATAGTTGACGAATTGACTAGGATACTCTACATATTCAAGTTTAGTCAGAATTGTAGAGACGTTATAGTGAAAACTTGTGCTCTGAGATAGTTCACCTACTTACCAAATTCCAGTTCAACTTACTCATACTTACTCATGCCTACTACCATTACCTCATGAGTGTTCCTGATGCCAAAATTCCAGCTCTAAGATGGCCGTCACATTGACTTTAGTGCACGTACTGAGAGTTTCCGCTCGATATGATGCTATGTAATAGGTTGATGCATAATTATTACGGATTTTTCAGGGCTTCTTTTCTTTCGATACAATTAGAATATTGAATTGGGGATTTAATAGAAATAATCTTCTTACTTTCTTCAACAGCACTACGTCTAGAAAGTCATCTTCATATACTCCATATTATGCCTTTTTACTTTTGAAAAGGCTGGGAGGTGACGCAGTCGTGAAGTGATCTCATCGAACTTCTCGGCCACTGGATCACGTCAATCCCCGCTGAAAAAGTGGCTAACGAATAGAACCTTTGACGAAATGGATGACTTGATGGCCGATGTCAAGGCATGGATCGCCTCCAAGAATTGGAACCCCTTTTCCTGTAGAATGCGACTGCCTAGGAAATGAGAAGCAATGCTCGTCGTAGACGGTGAATATGTTCCGGAGGAATTATTTGAACATGTCTCTGCTAAATATTCTCATCGTTTCTACAAGTAAGATTTGCTGAAAGAAATCCGCAATGATTATGATTTGATTTGATATCTGTAACAAAAAGTTCGTTGAGGTGCCCAATTTCAGCTGAACGTAAACACACCTTCCCTTTTTTGTTGCCAATGAGAAGTTTCCTTTTTACAACTGCAACTGCAAGGTTTCTCTCACCATTTCTTCCAATAAAAACTTATGAGCGAAGATAGGTGTTGGAGAGATGCACGAGGAGACCTAGCGAAAGCACCTAATACATCGCACATAGTCCAGTCGCTGATGTTGAGGAATGTGACATTTCTTCAATTCTTGGCATTATAAAGAACCGGAAACTAAATTGCTGTCTGATTCTGTGCTGGCATATAGCGGAATGCTTGTAATCAAATTTAAAAATCAGCGCAATAGTGTAAAGTGCATTTCTGCTGACAATTCAGATTTTTCCAAAAAGTAATAGCAACAAATAGAAATTTTCCTTTTCCAATGCCCACGAATATTCCCAAACTATCCCCTAAGTGTCCTAACAACTGGCTTATTTGGTTCCTGTCCCTAATTTTGTACGTTTATATCTGCTTTCTGAACTTGTCTGGCGAATTCCTTACTGAATTAAGAAAGTAGGCTAAACCACTAAAGAAGTTGCCTTCCCTCTGGCGAATTCTGAAGTTTTCTGCTCGATTCGAATAGACCTTTTTTGTTCATCAAAAATGTCGGGGACAGGTAATTTCAGGTAGATAAATCGTCAGAATGATGCACATTGGATTGTCACAGCATAGTTTATTGATGCTGTAGGCATCGCCAAGTTTTATATCAATTCAGGCGAGAGCTTCAACTACAGCGCGTTTCATAATTATAAGGTCACCCTCAAATTTTGCACTTTCAAGAAAAGCAATCATTAAGGATTTTTTCTAGCATCATGAACGGATTCCCCAGCACGAATAACCTAGGTTCCCGTTTTTTAGCCGCAGCTGCATTTTTCTGAACTTTTTTAGAACAGTTTATCGGTTTTTGCACCGTTTCATAATTATAAGGTCACCCCGAGAAAGTGAACCATTATTAACGAATGAGAGGAAATTTCGTGTTTGAAGATACAGGGTGACCCACATGAAGTGTGACGGGCAATAAAAAAATCAACTTATCGGCTCCCAGGCTGGAGGAAGCGG